CTGTCCATCTCCAAGTCCCATTGAACTGAGAATAAGCCACCCACCCCACTTGGAGCTTGGTGGATATTTTTCTTCCTAAAGAGAAAGAAAGTTGGTACCTTGCAGGAGGCCTCTTCCTTGGAGCTCAGGAATCTCATGGGCCATGCCTTACCCTCCCCATGGGCATGAGTGTGTTGTCTTTCTGGGATATGATGAAATTTGGGTCAATATGGTAAGTTTTAGCTGCTGGGGCTTCAGGGCTGGCCCCTGAGCATTGTCTGGAAGCTTAAATACTCCACCCCAATCCTCTTGCAAATAGGAGCAGCACCTCAACAGCAGTGAATGAGGTGTACCCACTAGGAAATCACAGAAGGAGAGGAAAAGAACGTCCTTTCTATGCTTCTGCATATCCTAGTGCAAGGCCCTCATCACTAATCCCAAAAGCCAGTTGTCCTTAGCCCTTCCTGCCACTTCTGTCTTTGTTCTTAGGATGATAGCTCCTCTCTTTGCCTACAAATTACTCTGGTTCATCCAATAACTCCAACAACTCCAACTCTAAATCTCTATCTGGTATATACATCCCAGACACCTTCTTCTGATCCCAGAACACACTGATTGCAACTCTAAATGCAGAAGTTAGCCTGTCGTCAGGGATCTGCAGAAGCATCTTTCAGAGGTTCATGAGGAGTAACTATCCAATCAAACTTATCCCCTACCTCCTCCAGACCTGGCCTTAGTATTTGATCCCATCTTTCCCATTCTTGTCAGTGTATTTTCCATTTTTATGAGTTTAATAACTGCAAAAATCCCCAACCACCTGTCATTTAGCCAAAAATATTCTTGTCATGCTTATGATAAAAACCAAACTTCTTTACTCAGTAAGATTCATAGTTTCAAAGGAATGTGCAGACATGTTCCTTTGCAAAGAAAAGACTCTACCTAGGGATGTCCGACAGTGTCAACAACCCTATGTAAGTATCAGCTGAAGGTGAGGTTTCCTTGGCAGCTCAACAGTCTCCCTCAGCACTTATTCTGTCACCTACTGCCAAGTCACAGAAGGTTTGTGTTAAAAACCTTCAGAATGGAACTGCTAAAGGGGAAGCAAATCTAGGCTTTGCTCCAGTCCTATAGATCCTGACTCTCTCAGCTCTGTAAGGGTTAAGGGTTAGCTTCACATAAGGGGAAATGGAAGACTATATACTAAAACGATTTCAGGCTAATTATATCAAGCATAGGGCTAAGTGGCTATCCCAGGGACTAGCACAAGAAGAGCAACTAGAATATCAGATATTCACTGCTCAAGAAGCAGAGAAACTCTAGGATTGGCAGAAAAGCATGTTGTCACTGAATGCCATTACAAATGGACAAGTGTGGTCTAGAGTTAGTAAAAAAAAATAAATAAACCACCCAAGAAACAGGGGATCTGGGGGGAGTGGCAGATTTTTTCTTTATCTTCTGCTGAGATATATACCTTTGGACTTCACCCCCTCAGTTTTCACTGTACCTCAATTATATTTCTTAGTTAATGACCACCATTCTTAGCAAGCTTCTCTCTTTCTCTGTCCTTTCTTGCATTTTGATTTGTGTTCTTTTCTCCCATGTTCAGTCCATTGTCCCTTCTTAACCTTCCCCGGACATTCACCATTTACCATTTACTTATTGAATGTGAGTCCTTCCCCCTCACTCCTTATCTTTCAGGTGCAGCAGGTTAGCATCTCCAAACCAATATGTCAAAAGTAGAATTGAACACACACACACACACAAAACCACTCTTGACACACACAGTAACTTCCCCTTCAGACATCTCCAAATCAGTTCACAGACTTTCTCCCATTAGTTGCTCAAGTCAGAAGCCCAGGAATCATCACCATGCCTTCTTCTTCTCTCGTTTACAGGACCCTTCATACATAAGGAAATCCTGTGGGCTGGTCCTTCAAAATGAATACAGACTCTAACCATGTCTAACACTTCCACTACCTTGGAAGCCTCCAGCATCTCTGGAATCCTGAGCTAGACTTGTAGCCACCTCTCTCTCATACCTGTACTTCGGTAGCCCCGGGACTTTGTTGTCCACACAGCTCCAGGAGTAATTTTTAACAATATAAATTGGGTTCTATTGTTCCCAGCTTCAAAGTCTCCCTTTAAAATAAATTTCTCATGTGTGTAATAAAATCCAGACCCCAGACTCTTTCCTATGGGCTTCACAATGCTCAATGCAGCCAGGCGCAAGTGTTCCTTAGGTTATGATTCTTTCCAGGGTAAATTTTCTGTCCCTTAGAGATGTTAGACAGTTACAACAACACAATTTTCAGCCATCTCATGCTTTTGTAGTTTACTAACTTCTCCAGATTGTAAAATGAAAAGAGGATCCGAAAGTCGCCTTGAACAATTGCTTACCCTCTACTGATGTGTAGGTTGGTGCCAGTAATGTGTGCCATTTGCAGACTATTTTTAGAAATAATATTGATTTGCTAGAGCTGGTATTGGTTCCTCTTCTTTTAACTTTTTATTATTCTTTTTACAACTGCACTTCTACAGTTTACCCTCTCTCCAAACCCCACAGAGCACCTGCAATTTAAGCAGCAGTTGTAGTTTCATTAGGTGTGTTTTACATTAAGTTACGGAAAGTGCCACTAACACCATCAACTTTTACATAAACAGCTGTTCTATTCATTACAAAAGAGTTGTCTCACCATCGCCACCTTGCTCAACTACATTACTTCCTTTTTTAACCAATTTTTCGAAAAGCACCCAATAAGGGAGGTATATATTATTCAAGTTCTTAAGCAATATGATGTTTTCTGTAGTCCCACGCTCTTTTTTAGTTTGGGTGTTGCTTACTCTGGAGTCCTCTGTCAGGACTGTAAAGTTCTGCCCGTTCTAGGAGGTGCTGGTTCTGGCCCTCTTCTTGTTCCTAACACCTGTGCATGGACTCCTCCACAAACTGCTCATTTGCAGGGGACACCAACCCCACCAGACTCCAGAACATGAGCCCACTGCAAGCTGCCTGCTTTGCGCCATGTTGTCCGCCGCAGGGAGGTGGTGAGAGTACCTCCGCGCTTCTGCGCGGCTTGGTGGAACTCTGCTGCACCAGCCTGGTCCTGCTGGGATGCTCATCCCACCTTCCACCGCTCACCCCCCAGCGGCAGAAGAACAACGCACGAAACACTATGGAGGCTTTCTGGCCTGCAGCTGGTGGCAGAGAGGACCCAGGAAGATGGCGAAACCATCGGGCATCTCTGAGCTCTAGCTTGATTCCTCCCAGGGCACCAGGGGACACCGCTGGGCGGGAAAGACACAGGGAAGTGAATGCTCAAAGTTTACCCCCTACAAGGAAGATGGCCATGCGGCAGTGGATCCCTGGGACCAGGGCCCAGTCATCAGGCAAATAGTATAGGCAGACCCGCACTCCCCCACAAGTTTCAGACCTTTTTACTCTTCTAAGGGTGCTCTGGGGATCCCCTTCTTCCTTTCCAGAAGCTCCACCCAGTAGCTAGAGCGCGGGGTCAAGACTGCCAGTGAGGGCTGAAAGCTTTCTGAACCTCTTGTCCTTAGGGCAGAAGAGGTGTCATTCCTAGGAGTTCCTGGAATGCACGCTTTGCATATGTTGGTGGGAAAAGTTCCTCCTGGAGAGCTCAGTGGCCCGTGCCCAGCGCTTTCTAATCCCTGGGTTGGGACCACCACCAGATTGGGGCAGACTCTCAGTTTAGGTTCTTCTGGTCTTGAGATGCACAAGGAGTTCTTAGAGGGTTGACTGGCGAGAGCATATTATCGTTTTTTAGGTCTAGATTATGCATGTGAGGAAAAAAACATGTTGTCTTTCTGAGATTGGCGTATCTTCTGCAACATGGTATCTCCAGTTCTATCCATTTTCATGCAAATGACATAATTTCATTTTCTCTATGACTGAATAATACTCCATCATATATCAAGCTTGGTTAATTTTACATTTTTTGATTCTAGATATTTTATATTCCTGTCAATATTCTTGAGCTTCCTTTTAGTACACTGTTATGTTACTTGGGAACCATTTTATACTTTCAAAGCTTGCTTTTACGTTTCATTAGGTATGACCAGAACAGTTTTTAAGCCAGCATTTGCTGTGGTTAAATGCCAGCCCTCCCACCCTCACCCCCAGAGAGGATGGGCCCACAGAGAGGTGCCACTGGAAGGTGGGCACCTCCCACCTTCCGGAGAGGCAGGCTCTTGGGTCACTGTGAGTGTACCAATCCTCAAAGGTGATTGTGGGGCCCTGGCCCCTTCCTCTTTCTCTTTGCTCCTTGGTCTGTGATATAAGTGGTTTTGTCCCACCATGATGTGCTGCCCCACCCAAATTAACAGGGCCACTGGATCATGTATTGGACTCCAAAAATGTGAGTTAAAATAAGCTTTTACTCTTTATAAACTAATTATCTCAACTGTTTTGTTATATAATGGAAAACTGGCTAACAAGAGCTCATTTTGTACTACTACAAAGGCAGTATCCTTCTGAGTATTGTATCTGATCCTTCATGAATTAATGATTATTTCTAGTCTGACTTTTGGGAACATAAACTATTCCCAGCCCTTTATGACCTTCAGGAGTTGTTTCAGGTGAAACACACTCATGCATTGACTAGTAATTAGTTGAAAATTTGAGAGGCAGCCATTGCAGATCTCCCAAACTTTGTCTGTGTAGCTGTAGCTCTCTCCCTGTATAGCACTCACCCTATCCTCCAAGTTGGGCTCACAGAACTCCTGCTTGTCTTCCAACTCAGGGAAACTGCTGGGTTCTACTTGTTTTCCCTCCCTAAGATATGCCTTGGAAATTCACTCCATGTGGTAAGCCAGACAGTTCTAGGACATACTTCTTTTCACTTCTCTTCTCAGCAATCAGAGATCACTGCTTTGTGCTTCCTGATGTCCAGTGTTTGAAAGTTGTTCTTCTGTATATCACATCATATCACGTGAAAGGGTAAATCCATTCCTCTCTCTCTCTCTCTCTCAGCCAGTAGTAGAAGTTATTTCTCTTTGAGCTCATCATGAATTCCATGAAGCCTGAAGAGTACCAGCAAGCCATTAAATGCTGCAGAAAAAGACCAGAGTACCAGACCTAAAGTTTTAAAGGAATAGCTACCTTTCTACAACTCTTCATTGGAGCAACACTCTAATTATAGCACTATTAAGTTTTTGGAAGAAGATAAATTCTTAGAGAAAGTAGAGTGGTTGCTATTCTTTCTCTTATGTTGTTTAAAAAATATTTGAGGAGATCACACACATAATGTGTTGTGAAGACCAAAATGTCAGTGTATGACTTAACAACGCAAAATGTGTCTGAAGACAGCAAGGTAATAAACAATAATGAACACTTAAGACATTGGAAACATAGACAAGCAAAAATATTTCCTGGGAAAACACTGTGTGCCTGGAATTATGTGTCACTTTATATGGATTATCTCATTTAACACTTACTCAGTAAGTATTATTATCATGCTTATTTTACAAATGATGAAACTAAACCCAACTTGTTTCAAATTGTAAAGTAATGTATCTCAAAGAAAGAATTCAAACCCAGAAAGTCAAACTTCAGATGCTGGTTTTTGACCAATACACTATTTTACTCAAACTATGCCAAGTGACAGTACTAAGTTGAGTTATAAACAAGTACTTTCAAAGTACAGAGGGACGAATGCTTAATTCATACTCAGGAAATTAAAGCAGTGACATATGAGAAAGATCTTGAAGAATGAGTAATGAATCTAAAATAACCAAACTCATAGAAGTAGAGGTGGCTTCCAGGGGTTGGGGACAGAGGGAAAAGGAGGCATTAGTCAAAGGTACAAAGTTTCAGTTTTAGAAGAAGACAAGTAACTTGTAGAAATGATCTGTCTAAAGCAGTGTGCCTATTAGTTAATGATTGTATTGTATACTTAAATATGCCTAGAATGGAGTGGAGATGAATTGGTCAATTGTTTGAATACATTTGAAAATTTGGTGTGAAAATTACAAAATATATAACCAATTTATTTTATCTTATGATAGGGTGTACAGGATTGCGTATAAATTCATGAAGTTTATAGATACTCTAAACTTTACTGGATGTATGCTCACCTTGCATCTCCTCCCCCCTTCCATTCTTTCCTTGTTTTTTATGCTTAACTAAACTTGTATTGTTGCTATCTTTCCCCTATTATGGATTTATTGTTTTAAATTTCTCAGATAAGGATACTTAATACACTTAAGAAGTAATTTTTTTAATTAACATTGCAATTAAAGTCTGCCATTAAAAAGCCACAAGTGTGACCCTCTTGTCTAGTTTTTAGAGACCTCCTTCTTACCAGTGAGCAACCTTCCTAATCCTTGAATTAGCACACAGGGAAAAGGAAAAAGATTTTTTGCAGTGCATCTCCAACTTCAATGATTCAATGATTTTTGGTTCCAAACAGTGTCTTCAAATATAAGGCAATAATAGTTTTTACAACAAATTCAGAGTAGCAATTGTCTGTGTGAATGAGATAAGGGCATAAGATGAAGGAGTGATAGATACATAGAAGTTTATTATTGTTACTTAAAGTATAGGACATGTCAAATTCCCTTTTGAATGTATAACTTATTTCATAGTTTTTTTTTAATAGCTGAGTGAGTGAGTGACGATACTGGTATAACATTTTGGGAACACATGGGAAGGGACATAATTAAGAGTCAGTTTTATGACTTCGATTTTTTGTTTTGTTTTGGTTTTGATAGTACTGGGTTTTGAACTCAAGCTTCACACTTGCTAGGCAGGTGTACTAGCACTTAAGCTTCTCCACCAGCCCAGTATTATGACTTTGGTTTTGAAAGTGTTGAAGGTGAAATATCTATGACTTTTCCCAGAGTAAATGTCAAACAAGCTACATAGTATTAATATCTGATCCTGTGAAGAGAATGATGCTGCAGACCTAGATGTGGACAAGGAGTGGTTCAGAACATGAGGAAATAGGAGAGAAGAAACACTACTCCTAAAACCTAGGTTCCATCCATATCATCTGCTCCACAATAAACCAAGCCCAGCTGCCCCTCCTGAGCTTATCCTCTCCAGACTTATTCCTCTATTCAGACTAGGTCCAAGACTTCACATTCCACTGTGATTCCCATCTCAGTTATTTTGATTTTTCATCATCATTTCTGTTGCCATCAGAGTTTCAGTATTGTGCTCCCTGGGATAAGACTATATATGTAAATGAATATGATATTTGTTTGTATATATATCCAATCCTGTCATTTTATATATAAATATATATACATATAAACTTGGTGATAATACACATATATATATACACATACACTTAGTGATGCTGAAACTATGCACAGAAGGCAATCAAGCAAATGTTTAAATCACTTTTCTGAAAGGTGATTCTTCAAATATCCAAAAGACAATGTCCAGCTTCACTAGAAAGTAAATAAATACAATTTTTTAAAAAGTCAAGGTAGATGGCATTTCATCTACCAACTGACAAATATTTAAAATAGTAATACTGAAATCCTTTTCCTAACTTTTTTTTTTTGTCTTTTCTTTTTTTGGTGCTGGGATCGAACCCAGGGCCTCACGCATGCTAGGCAAGCGCTGTACCACCGAGCTACATCCCAGCCCAATACTGAAATCCTTTTAAAGAGTCAGCCATATGTTTGGTCTTTTTGGATAGCGGGGGAAAGGGACAGGGAAAACTGATACCATTTTCCTAGAAAGTAGTTTGGCAGGATGCGTGTTGTGAAATATGTTTATATCCTTAGTAGTAGTATTTCAACTGCTGGAAAATATTGAGACAAAACATATTTCAAGTAGTTAAAAGCTGGATACAATCTAAATATTCAGAAATGGAAGCAGGAATTAAAAATTATTATGGAGTGAAATACTATAGCCCTTCAACTTATATTTTCAAAGGTTGTCTAATGACATGCGAAAGCATTGGCAGATTGATTAGTGAAAATTAAGCTCACATGCGTGACAATATTTAAGAAGTATAAAAATTTTAAATCTGCATATAAGACAGCAGAAGAAAAACAATGTTGAGTGATTATCTCTGGTAATGGAACAGTGATGAATTTGTTTTCATTATTCATTAGCCATTATATTATCGGATTTTTCTCCAGAATATCTATTATTTTTATCAGAAAAATAGGAAATGTTCTTGAAGGTGATTTTCATTAAATCTTTAAATTTTCCTTCTCTCTCTCTCTCTCTCTCTCTCCCTCTCAGTGATACTGGGATTTGAACTCCCACTTGCTTTCCAGGCAGGATTCTCAGCCCTTTTTTGCTTTTAGTTGTTTTTTGAGATACAGTCTCCTGTTGCTAGGCAGGCCTGACTACAAAAGACCTGGATCTTCCTACTTAAACCTCCCATGTAGCTAGGATGACAGGCCCTGGCCATCATGCTCAGTTTACTCAGTTTTCTTTTGTTGTTGTTGGTTGTTTATTTGTTTTGTTTGTTTTGCCAGGCTGGCCTCCTCAATGCTCCCAATCTCTGCCTCCTGAGTAGCTTGGATTGGCAGGGTTGAGCTACCATTAGTTGACTTAATTTTTCCTTTCTTAAAGGGTACTGTCAGGAAGCACAAATGTTTGTGCATACCTGTGAATCACTATCTAGCTGCTGTAAGGGAGTGCAGCAGCACCTCCAAGCTCAGAAGTGAAGTTGACAAGCATGAAAATCAGAATCCAGTTTTGCACACCAATAAAGAATGCTGTTTCATCTTTACTTTCAATGGAGCTCTGGGAAATTGGGCCACAATGTATTCACGACATATGGTGAACTAAGTGAGAGTATCTACTCAGCCTTAAGTGTAATGACACTTTGTGGAACACAATTTCAGTAAGAACACTATTGTTTAAGAGAAAACCACAGAAGAATATATAAACTTATGAATGTCACTCAGAGACTCTTATTTTATAATAATATTTAGACCGGGCTGGTGGCACACACCCGTAATCCTAGCACTCTGGAGGTGTAGGCAGGAGAGCTGTAAGTTTGAGGCCAGCCTAAGGTACAGAACCAGTTACAGGCCAGCCTATAGACAAACTGACCCTGTCTCAAAAGTCCAAAAATAAATAAAAATAACATACTTTTTGGCCAAAGAAAGAGTAACCAGGAAGATGGTCAGATATTCCACCAAAGAGAAAATTAAAACATCCAATGCAAATCTTTTTCATGTTGTTGCAATGGGGAAGAGGAGAGGTTCCTAAGATTAAGGAACTTCATGAAAAGGAAGTATAATTTGTATCTAGACTATAAAGAAACCCTCTGCAAGGATGGCTGATCTCTGTGCAATCTAAAGGAATTTATATTGCTATTTTCATTATTATTATTACTGGGGTTTTTGAAAGAGTCTCACTACATACTTAGGGCGGGCTGGAACTCACTATGTAGGCCAGGCTAGCCTTGAACTACTCTGTCTCAGCCTCCTTAGTGCTGGGATTACAGGTAAGTACCACCATGCCTGGTTCTTGTCTAAATGAATTTAAATGGAAACCTATAAGAAAATTTACAGAAAAAATCCACAGTGAATGAAATAGCTGGAGGAGTCTTAGAAGTGGACATTTTTTAAAATATTTGACAGGGAAGGCATCCATAAAAAATTAAATAGAAGACTGAAAATGCAACTGATGAAAGCAATCACTGGAATCTGATACAGTCTAACAATGTTCCAGAACCGAAGAAACTTGGAGAGACTGGCAATGCAGACTCAACAAACACGCCATCCTACCTCAAAGTCTAGAGCATGATGGTCAAAGTTAAACTCACCGAACAATTTCCATAATCAAACATTACAATAATAACTTCAGCAGAAAATATAAGAAGATAAACTTACAAGGTAGATAGAAGCCCCATTGGGGCAGGTGGTATTCTATTAACTTGGATATACAGAAAGAGGTAATTAATCTCTTATGTTGGACAAAGCCGTAATGCATCGATATCTGAATTTTAAAAAAGAAGCATGTTGGTTGAGAAGTCACCTTAGGAAAAAGAAGAGAACAAAAATTACCAATGTTTAAACAATTCAACATATATAAAAAGTACTTCGAAAGAGTGATTGAAAATTTTTTTCATTTGCAACCTGTGAACAACTTACTTAGTCAATTTGATTCAAAGCTTGGGAAAATAATTGCTTTGTCTTCAATGATAATTATATTTTCATCTGTTGATAAGTTGTACATCTTACAAGTGGGTGAGGCACAGACTCAAGTTTGTGGCCAGATACAATTAGTGATGTGCGAAGGTTACCTTTGAGGCATGGTTTGAAGTATCCAATGGAATTCTAACGTATGCTATTTAAAACCTAGTTTTAAATGGAAATGGCTTTCCTCCAGATCTATCTCGACAAAGTTTTCCCCAAACATACCAAATTAAGTTTGGTTCACTTAATTGTTCACTCAGAAGGCCCATTCCAGCAAAAAGATGGTTGCACTGTGATTCTTCTAATTCAAGGGTTAGGGAGGTGTCCAGAACCTTATCAAGGTAAGTTGGTAGAATCCATGCTGTCATGTGTAATGCTTTCCTTTATGTTTACCCAAAGAAGTTTCCTGTCAGAGGTTTAGACCACATACCCATTTAGTTATGGTACTTGATTCTCTAACGGATCTTCAGTGTTTAATGCATCTGACAAATTATGTGCTTAGTGAATTTGGTTATTCTTTAGATTCTGTTCTTTTGATATTAAACAGAAAAATGAGAGCTTGTATAAATTATTAAATGGAGACAAAACGAGAGCCACAATAAAGAGAAAAATAAGAAACAAGAAGTCATCACTTCAAAACATCAGGTTGAACCCATGAGATATTAGATATACTGTCTTCACAAAAACATGCTAATAATTTAGAGTATCAGAGACTGTTTCCTCAAAATAGAGTGAAAATTCTTAATTGGAAAACTTTTAGAGTCATGTGACTGGATGTTTTCACAACACATATTAGAACTCATATAAATATGGAATATTTTTGTTTCACTGCCTTAAAAAAATTTGAAACCATCTCAAGTCTCACTTAAAATTCTTAGCTGACTTACACACAAAGACTGATATTTTCCATTCTGAATGCCTAGGATGGTGCAGCTTCTTGCCTGGCACAGTGATTTCTGTTCTCCAACAATATTACAGGGAAAATATGCCTTTTCAATAAGGGGGAAAATTGAAATCATTTGGTAATCTTCCTTGCAGCTGAGGGAGTATGTTCTTGACTCGGTAATCCTCATGTTGCCTTCCTGAACCCACTGCTCTTAGTCTAAAGATTTCCAGCACGTGATCCCTTGCATTGAATCTCTTTTACGTGGACTGAACCTTGACTGATCTACGCTTCTTGACAGTCAGCAATTAGTTAGACTAACAAGTGTGTGATAGTCTTTCAAGTGTGCAGGAATCATAAATTTGAATCAGATATGGTTTGGAAATTACAGATCTTTATGTTTATCACAATGACCCCTACCACCCTACACTTCCCCTAACTCCTCCTCCTCCTCTTCCCCTCCTCATCTTCCTTCTTTATTTAATACTATATTTGATTATTCTGGTTTTGTTGTTGTTGTTGTTTTTGTGGAAGCACTGGGGTTTGATCTCAGGGCCTCACACCTGCTAGGCAGGCGCTCTTGCCGCTGGAGCCACTCTACTGGCAAATATTTCCTTTGACTCATGTCAAAATATTACCAGTTCAACATGTGTATACGTATGTACTTTTCCCACTAAGTTCTTTTAAATACAGTGGTATGTTTTGTGCCCTTTCAGCATGTCTCACCTCGGACTAACCCATCTCAAGTACTTAATAGCGTATTTGTGACGCATTTCTGGAGTCCATACCATCTTCTTCCTGAGGTTTGTAAACGTCTGCAACACTTGTGCGAGTTTGTAGAATTAATTTATGACAAGAGTCTTTGCTTCTGCGTGTGACGCGCTGCAGACAGATCCCACCGCGCGGTGGTTCCCTCCTGCGCCCTGCTAGAGGCGCCAAGGTCCTCGGTGCTCTGCTACCCATTCGCAGTCAAGCATCCTGCCGAGCTCTCAAGCCCCGCCGAGCTCTCAAGCCCCGCCCAGCTCAATTAACCCATCCACACGTTAGGATCTTTCAGATACTCAAGACTACAGCACCCGGGAAGCTGGGAGTGACACAGTGGGTATCTTAGTTTGAGCTCATGGTCACCAAGAGGAGCGCTTAGGGGACAAGGGTGGGAGCGCTCCGGGGACGAGGGTGGGAGCGCTCCTTGCAGGGCACTTTTTCTGGCCTCTCCAGTGGAGGGCGGGAGCTTGGCTAATTTGCTTCCGCTCAAGCGAGTTGCTGTCTGTCACGACAAATTTCTGCGTCCATCCGCCAGACGCGCCATTCCCTAGGCGGGTTCAGTTCTCTGAAGCGCGGGATTCCAGTGGCTGGAGGGAAAGCCCCTAAGGTGAGTTCCTCTGGTTCTGGGGTCGTTCTGGAGTTTGGGGATAGTTCGTTAGCACCGCCAAGGTGCAGACAACCCTCAGGCTGGTGGAGAGCAGGTGGGAAAAACCTGTACGCCTGGATGCTGCCTCTAAACGTATGGGTGTGTGGGGGGAAGCTAAGTGAAGTTCCCGGAAACTTAAAAGGAGCAGAGTCAACGTGAAATGCTGTGTTTCTTTTGCCTTGCTTAAGGGAGAGCATGTTCTCATTTTTAAAACCCTATGAAAATGCTTCCTTACATCAACTTCTCTGTGCCGAATTCAGTATGCAGCAGTAATCTCAAATATGTTTTCCTAGGTGAGTTTCTTTCCAGGATAAGATGATGGAGTAAAAGATTAAGTTTCGTTTTCCCGCATGTTCAACCATTTTGAGGAGTGAAGTCATCTACATTCACACCTCTTGCTAACAGCATTAAGTGTTCACTGTGTCATCACTTTTCTGCCAGGGACTAGAAAGTCCCTGTTTATTCTAGTACCTTCCTCAAAGATCCAACAACTCTTCAACAGAAAACAACAAAAAACAGGTTACAATGCGAGACTTCTTGAATTCTTGCTTTGATGAATCTACCAATGCTAAATTGTTATTCAGTGCTTATCCAATCCCCCATATTAAACACTGGATTTAAACCAGACTTCAAAATCTCTATATATGGCTCAACCTTGTTCTTTTCCCACCCCCCAACACTAACAAAATTCTGTCACGTTATTATTCTTCACTACTTCAGTAAGCAGTAACTTTAGCTTTGCTTTATCAACAGTTGGTTTTTGTCTTTTTGGTTTTGGATGACATTTCTGAAAGGCAACAATTGACATTCTTGGAGGTCCCAGCAAGACCTAATCAAACCTGCTGCAGACCTAGTCATCCCCTCCACTCGAAATCAGTGTGCTCAGCTGAGATTCCTGCCGTCTTTTCAGGAGCTCTCTGCTCCCAAAGGTGGGGAAAGTAGATGTTGCATTAGTTTGAACTCTTATGTGTTCGTTGAGCTTATTAAACACACGCTGCGTTTATTTTGTTCTTAGCAGTAAAACATTTTAATCGTTTTATGTGAACAGAGTTTGAACAGCTTTTACATTTAGCAAAAAAAAACTTGGCTGAGTTACTAGTACTGCAATTTTCTCTGTCCTTGTTATTTTTTGTTGTTTTGTGTAAAATAAATTTTCGCAGGGAAGAGAACAAGCATAGGTTGCACAGGTTCAGGTTTTAGACTAGTGCGGCTGTCAGAAATTAATACTGGGTGGGATATTTCACTCTGGAGTTGTTCCTGTTTCACTCAGGAACAACCAGTCTCTCTTCCCCAGTGTCCAAAAAAGTAAAGAATTGAGAGACAGAGGTAGGGAGAGATGGTGGGTGGGAGGGTTAGGCCTGGCAGGTTTGGAAGTTAAAGAAAATAACCAATTGGCCATCTACACAGGGGCTCAGAAAGGTGGACTGTCCTTTGAGACGCTGAAGTCCCACCTCTGTCCTTTCTTACCTAGTGTAAGCTAACGTGGGCGCACTCTTATTGGTCAGCATCGCTGAGTCTCTAAGGGAGTCTTACAGTCTTCCTCCAATAAGAGCTGACCTGCATTTGGCGCTCAATTCCAATGCGGATGCTGGCTGGACGCTGGGCGCGCAGTGGAATCTGTGAGCACATGCGACGCTGGGGTGCACTGCAAGGTGGGCGCCATCGCGCTGGGGCTTCTAGGGCAGGAAAAGGATGGGGTTGGGAGCCCTGAGGCCTGGGCCAGCAGCGCCGCCCACCTGGAAGGCGGCGAATGTCCACATGTAGTTCAGTAGCTGCTGCTTGTCCCACTGGGTGCCAGAGGGAGCAAAGTGGTGGGTTAGGATGAGGCTTTAGATCAGCAGTGATCCAGGGCTCGGGAAAGCCTGGCTGAGCAAGAGAAACCGAAAGCTAGAGGAGAGAGAGGGAGAGGGAGTGGGGGAAGGAAGAAGAGAGAGAGGGAGGGAAGAAGAGGCAGAGGAAGAGAGAGAGCTTGCTGAAAGAGACCTTGAGAAAGCAGGAAGTATCAGGGAGTGGGGGTTGAGGGTGGGAGGAAATGAGGAAGAGAGGGAGGGAGGGGGAGAGGGCGCAGAGACGAAGGCAGGGGAGGAAGAATGAGAGAGGAGGGAGGGTAACAGGGTATCCTGAAAGAGAAATTCCAGGGGATCTGTTAGGTGGACTGGAGGTAAGACCTAGAACTGTCTGTGTTGTTTATTTCCTTTACTGTAGAAGTGAAGAAGTAAGTCTTTTAGTTCAGTAAAACTTAGACTTTTTCTTTTCTTTTTTTCTTATATTCATATGTGCATACAATGTTTGGTTCATTTCTCCCCCCTTCCCCCGCCCCCTCATATACCGCCCTCCCTCCGGCTTATCTCTCCCTACCAGGCAGAAACGATTTTGCCCTTATCTTTTTCAGTTTGTCCATTATTAGTGTATAGAAATGCTAATGGTTTTTCTATGTTGATTTTATATTCTGTTACCTTGCTATAGCTATTGATGGTGTCTAGGAGCTTTTGAGTAGAGTTTTTTGGGTCTTTAAGGTATAGGATCATATCGTCTGCAAATAGGGATATTTTGACAGTTTCTTTACCTATTTGTATTCCTTTTATTCCTTCTTCTTGCCTAATTGATCTGGCTAGGAATTTCAGTACTATGTTAAATAGGAGTGGAGATAGTGGGCATCCTTGTCTCCTTCCTGATTTTAGAGGGAATGAAAACCTAGACTTTTTCAACTACAAAATGGGTTGGACAAGGATAGCTAAAGGCACTTCACATTGTGATATAACTTGGTTTAGACTGGATATTGGAAACAGTGTCTGTGTGGAGGCAGTATTGGTGTGTTCTTAACCTCTCTATCCTTTACATTGTGATTGCTCAAGTGACTGTATCTATTTTTGTTTCCCCAGATTTGTTGCTGTTTAAATGTAGTTAAATGTATTTATATTGATAATCATACTAGCAGTAATATTTACTGAGTAACCTATGACATGCCAGCTACTGTTCTAAAGGCTTTTCATGCACTATCTTTTTTTAATCTACTCAACACCAGAGGTTTTCATTGCTCTCATTCTAAGGTAAGGACAATGAGGCACAAAGTAATTAATTGTTTTGCCCAAGGTCATGCAGCTAGCATGTGACAACTTGATAGCTGAACCCAGATGGTCTGAAAAACATTAACATTGATATAGCACATTTTATTATTCATTATCTCATTTAAAAATACTGTCTTTTTTTCACAAACAGGAAACTGAGATTCAGAGAGGCTGAGTAGATTTCCTTAGTAGCTCATTACCAGTGACTGAGAAAGCCATGGTTTCCTCTCCATCATGAAGTGGTTAAGTGTATAAACATAGTCTTTAGATGACTTTCATTTGACAAGTACAGAGGCTAGATCACAAGTTAAATAACAGTGTGAAGAAGCAACCCAGAAGACCAATTTCTCTGTTCTCTTTAACAAACCAACATTTTTTTTCTAGAATAAAAGAGCCTTAAAAAGGCATAATTAAGCCAAGCATGGTGATGTATACTTGTAATCCCAGCACTCAGGAGACTGAGGCCAGAGGATCACAAGTTCAAGACTAGTCTGGGCTACATAGTGAGATACTGCCTCAAAATAATTTATTATTAAAGACAACAAAACCTGGTGGATTGGTTCATGCCTGCAATACTAGCTACTTGGGAGACAGAGATATGAAGGATGGCAGTTTGAGACCAGCCTGGGCAAATTGTTCACAAGACCCCCATCACTAAAATAAGCAGAGCAAAATGGGCTGGTGGTGTGGCTCAAGCAGCAGAGCACCTGCTTTGCAAATGTGAAACCCCCAGTACCACAAAAAAAAAAAAAAGTAACTAGATTTTGGTGTGAATAAATTGACATTGTGATTATATAAGGAAAAATTCCTTAATGTTTACAGATAAAAAGTGATTTACAGTGAAAATGTAAGTCTTAACTGTAATCTAATAAAATAAAAAATGATACAAATTTGCCAAAAAATGTACAATCATTAACTGTGTGATAAGCGTATGGAGGCTCAGCATACCATTCTCTTTCTTCCTTTCTGTTAGAAAGTATTCTTAATAAAAAGTCTCAATAGCTTAATCTTCGGAGTTTTGTGACCTTGAAAAAAAGTTTAACCTCTCTAGATGCTCAACCTCTTTTTTGGTAAAGTAGGACTAATAATCCCATCCATAGAGTTTTAAGAATTACAGAACAGGGCACAGTGTATCAGTGCCTACTCCATCCTCCCATTGCATGTGTCCTGGTAAATGTTACCTACTGAGGGCCTGCCACATGCCAGGCATTCTTTTAGCTCTTGGGGTATTGAAAACAAACACATTGCTGCCTCCAATGATATTTATCCTGCCAGTGGTGTTTATCACTATGACAGATTTCACTAATTTATTTATATTGTGGTTTCTCTTCTGGGAAGCCATCAGGAAAGACAGAAGGAAAAATAACTTCTTTAAACAAAAAATTAAAGAAGTAAATAAGTTCCTAACTATCAGCCTGAATAAACTTTCCAGATTTCTTTTTGAAATCTCTTTCCAAATTTCTTTTGTCTTTTGTCTTCAGGATACTGCTAAAGAGAACTCTCTTCCTATCCATTTCCATACGATTTTACCATCCTTTGCCATCACCATCTTAAGTGGAGACCAGAATTTAATATCAGTATAACTGGAATTCTCCAACTGTAAACTCCAGTGTAAGGTATTTATATCTACATTTGAATTTTATCTCTGCTTCTAGTGGGATTGGCCAGATCACCTTCTTGTCTAAATTATACTTTCCCCAAAAGAAAAAATCTAGATATAACCTGTTTTCCAGGGTAGTTGTGGGGGTTATCAATTAGAGATAATTCTTGTAAAGTGCTTAGCGTAGTGCCTGACACATAGTGCTACGTAAAACATAGATTTTATTCTTAGGGTGATTGTACTTTGTGCATAAACTATTTCCTAAATTAACATCCCTGGAGAGAGCAAAGCCAGAGCTGGAGGGAAAGGTGGACTATGGGATCCCAGTTAATCATCTTCTCCTCTGTATAATTAATGACAGCTATGAAGATACTGCTATAACTTGAACCTTTTTGACATTAGCGTTTCAGTTGAACCATCTGTTTCATCTTCAAGCCATTATGAGCTCTAAGAAACGCAGGTCACAGAAGATCCCATTTGATGTAAAGAGCAATATGAAAATCAAGGACTATTTTTCTCAGGTATGTCTGTGAATATTACTTATGGAATATATCCACAGTAGACTTAGTCATCTTTGGTTGCATAGTTCTTCCTGCCAAGAATTGCCTCACTGTGTGTTGGGAATATTACATAAACCTTTCCCACCTACTTTATTCTTTTAATTTTGGTGGGTGGGAGTGAGGAAAGGACTTATAATAAAAATTTTGGCCATATCAAAGTAGCCTTTAGAACCCTCATACACTGTTGGTGGGAATGTAAACTAGTACAACCACTCTGGAAAAAAATTTGGAGGCTACTTAAAAAGCTAGACATTGATCTACCATTTGATCCAGCAATACCACTCTTGGGGATATACCCAAAAGACTGTGACACAGGTTACTCCAGAGGCACCTGCACACCCATGTTTATTGTGGCACTATTCACAATAGCCAAGTTATGGAAACAGCCAAGATGCCCCACCACTGACGAATGGATTAAGAAAATGTGGTATCTATACACAATGGAATTTTATGCAGCCATGAAGAAGAACGAAATGTAATCATTCGCTGGTAAATGGATGGAATTGGAGAACATCATTCTGAGTGAGGTTAGCCTGGCCCAAAACCCCAAAAATCTTATGTTCTCCCTCATATGTGGACATTAGATCAAGGGCAAACACAACAATGGGATTGGTCTTTGAGCACATGATAAAAGCGAGAGCACACAAGGGAGGGGTGAGGATAGGTAAGAGACCTAAAAAACTAGCTAGCATTTGTTGCCCTTAACGCAGAGAAACTAAAGCAGATACCTTAAAAGCAACTGAGGCCAATAGGAAAAGGGGACCAGGAGCTAGAGAAAAGGTGAGATCAAAAAGAATTAACATAGAAGGTAACACCCACGCACAGGAAATCCATGTGAGTCAACTCCCTGTATAGCTATCCTTATCTCAACCAGCAAAAACCCTTGTTCCTTCCTATTATTGCTTATACTCTCTCTACAACAAAATTAGAAATAAGGGCAAAATAGTTTCTGCTGGGTATTGAGGGGGTGAGGGGGAGAGGGAGGGGGCGGAGTGGGTGGTAAGGGAGGGGGTGGGGGCAGGGGGGAGAAATGACCCAAGCCTTGTATGCACATATGAATAATAAAAGAAAAAAAACAAAAAAAAACAACAAAAGAAAAACAAAGTAGCCTTTAATTAAAAGAATTTTTGCAATGCTTCCTGAACCATAAAAATTTCAAATGCAATATATGTAGTAATCTATGGAAAACAAAATTAGTACTATTTCACAGCATGAAAATATTATTCCAACACCTACCTGATCTATTGAATCATAACAACCTACATATATAGTGATTTATAGTTTATAAAACAGTTTTTTGTATGTTCTTATCATAATCTTGTTAATTAGGTAAAGAATATTCTATCTCTAATTTTTTTCTAATGTGTTTATGAGGAGAAAGGGGGTAGGTAAAGTGAGTTGCCTAAGGCAAGAGTGACAACTTGGACTTAAAGTTTACTGACATGAACTGGAAGCTCTTTCTACTGTCTAAACTGTTATCATATCAGACTATCGTGTCCTTTCCTGCATCTAAAGTGCTACTTGAATTGATCAAGAAAAAGGCTGAGAAATGTAAGGCATTTGAAAATGCAACTTAAAAGACTTTAAATTCTAATTTTCTAAAAAATTAGAACATGCAAGAAGTTAGAAAATCCAAGACAAGCTTAGGTCTGTTTTTCCTCTGTCCCACTTCATGGCAGAGAGAGTTAATAATCCTATATACTACCCCTCTTTCCTTTTCAAAAGTATCCACATCTACTCAAGAATACTTTGAGTAATTGGAAGCCTATTATAACACTCCCATGAGGTGTGTAACAAGGATGTTTCCAGAGAAAATGTGTATGACCTTAAATTCTTCTTATTTTTTTATCCAGATTATTAATATTATTACAAAGATGGGAAAGAAATTTAACATGTAATATGCCAGTCATTGTGCTAAACATTGTCACACAATGATGTTAGGCTTAATCTTTTTTTTCTTTTTTTATTATATTCATATGTGCATACAATGCTTGGGTCATTTCTCCCCCCTGCCCTCACCCCCTCCTTTACCCCCACTTACCCCTCACTACCAGGCAGAAACTATTCTGCCCTTATCTCTAATTTTGTTGAAGAGAGAGTATAAGCAATAGTAGGAAGGAACAAGGGTTTTTGCTAGTTGAGATAAGGATAGTTATACAGGGAGTTGACTCGCATTGCTTTCCTGTGCATGTGTATTACCTTCTAAGTTAATTCTTCTCGAACTAACCTTTTCTCTAGTTCCTGGTCCCCTTTTCCTATTGGCCTCAGTTGCTTTAAAGTATCTGCTTTAGTTTCTCTGTGTTAAGGGCAACAAATGCTGTCTAGTTTTTTGGGTGTCCTAACCTATCCTCATACCTTCCTTGTGTGTTCTCGCTTTATCATGTGATTAAAGTCCAGTCCCCTTGTTGTGTTTGCCCTTGATCTAATGTCCACATATGAGGGAGAACATATGATTTTTGTTCTTTTGGGCCAGGCTAACCTCACTCAGAATGATGTTCTCCAGTTCCATCCATTTACTTGCGAATGGTAAGATTTCATTCTTCTTCATGGCTGCATAAAATTCCATTGTGTATAAATACCACATTTTCTTAATCCATTCATCAGTAGTGGGGCATCTTGGCTGTTTCTATAACTTGGCTATTGTGAATAGTGCTGCAGTAAACATGGGTGTGCAGGTGCCTCTGGAGTAACCTGTGTCACAGTTTTTTGGGTATATCCCCAAGAGTGGTATTGCTGGATCATATGGTAGATCAATGTTTAGATTTTTTTAAGAAGCCTCCAATTTTTTTCCAGAGTGGTTGTACTAGTTTACATTCCCACCAGCAGTGGAAGAGGGTTCCTTTTTCCCCACACCCTCGCCAACACCTGTTGTTAGTGGTGTTGCTAATGATGGCTATTCTAACAGGGGTGAGGTGGAATCTTAGTGTGGTTTTAATTTGCATTTCCTTTATTTAGGCTTAATCTTTACAACAGTCCTAGCACTATTGTTCTCATTACCAGGAAGTGGCACTGCTAGCATGTGAACCCATGGTTGTTCCAATGTCAAACATGGCTTAAGGAAAATGTACCTTTAGACATAGGAATCACATGCTCTTAATTTTTCATTGACTTTTTTCTATCTAATTAATATTCCTTGATTTCTCTCCTGTATCTGTCCCCTGGTTCTTAAGGTAATGCCCTATGAAAATGGGAATCATGGGTGTACATTTACAAAAAATAACACATAGTCTAATGGAAAACTATTACTTGGCATTCAGACACTCACATCATTTATTGGTTATTATGTAGTGCTAGGAAATGCTCTTATAAGAAAACTATTTGTGCCTCAGTTTCTCCATCAAAATGGTATATAGGCCATATTTGTTCCTCCTCATTTCATAGGACTTGAGGGATTAATTAATGTAATAATAGAAATAATTTGAGTTCTTTGCATGAAAGGTGTTGGGGAAACCAAGGTATTTATTATTAGAGATACCTATTTTTATGATCAACTAATGAACTAATTATAGTTTTGCTTAACATTTATGTCCTGATTATAAATCATGGTTATTTACTCTTGCTGAATTTGGTGTTTCTAAAAAACAAAATTTTTAGCGCAAAGGCTGGTTGCAATGGCCATACCTGTAATCCCAACTATTTAGGAGGCTGATATTGGGAGGATGGTGGTTTGAGGCCAGCCTGGGCAAAAAAGTTAGTAAGATCCCATCTCAATTAATAAGCCAGGCATGGTGGTTCACACCTGTGATCCCGCTATGCAGGTCATATGTAGGATCACAGTCTGGGGCCAGCCCTGGTCAAAACTGGGAGACTACCTGAAAAATAAAAGCAAGAAAGGGAGCATAGCTAAAGTCAACCATGAGGCCCTGAGTTCAAATCCCAGTATCACCAAAAAGAGTGAGAAAAAAAAGGTTTAGTGCAATCCATCACTGTGCTTGGCAAAGGTAAAAATTGTAAAGCTGAAAATGTTAAGATCTGAAATAGCATTATAAGGAAGCTGACAGATTTTTAAACATCTGGACAAAAGTTGTGTTTCTCATCTCCTGTTTGTCAGAAAATGCACTAGTGTATAGTATGATGATCTTATCTGACTTATGTGACAAGAAGCTCAGCTTGTATTTTGGATCAAAGTGATTTACCTCTATTAATAGTCTTTTGAATCCTGGTTCTGAATTTCTTAAATAAATTCTGTGAATTGTATAGTAAAAATGGGAAACAAATGACTTGGGTTGTATTCAGAGTTTTAAAGTATCTAACATTTATTTTTAGATCCCCAAAGAAGAGCAGGATAATCCCAGTATTTCTCAAGTGAAGGCAAAGTCTAGAAAAAGGCCAAGGGATATAACCAATACCAGGGATCAAAGATTCAGTTCACCTAAGAAAAATCAACAAGACCAGACCACTCCCAAAAATAAGATAATTAACATTACCTTGGATGTAAATGTCAGGAAAAACAAAAACATGAACTATGTGCTCACACATAATGAGAAGGATAACTTACACACAGCACTCAACACTCTTAATGCTGTCAAAAGAGAGAGAGAAACTCGGCCAGGCAAAGAAATGCTGGTGTATGGAATAGAAGGAATCAAAGGGTACATAAATCTTGGAATGCCACTCAGTTGTTTTCCTAAAGAGAGCCACATAGTAATCATGTTTTCCAAAAGTGAAAGTGAACAGAAAGAAGATAACCGAGTGTTTGGACGACATGACCACGAGTCTACTGACTGCGTTAAATTTTACATTCAGGCAGTTGGGAAGAGGAAAAGAAGGATTGTGGAGTGCGGGGAACTTCACAAAGAAGGGAACATACTCTGTGTCTATGGTTTCAAAGGAGAAACCATCAAGGATGCTCTGTGCAAGGATGGCAGATTTCGTTCCTTTGTGGAAAATGACAACTGGAAACTCATTGGTAACCTGAACTCCATCATTGAAAGCTCCCAGCCAGTCAATGAGTTAGAAGGCAAGAAATTTCAGGTTGAGGTTGAGATAAAAAGAAACCGTAAGGCAGCAGCTGCTCAGAATTCTGAGTTCGAGAAAAGTAACACCCCTGTATTGAAAAAATACATCGTGGATGAGTACCCCAGTTTGGAAATAGAAAGTAAAAGAATCAGAAAATATATCAAAGAAGAAGTGAATAAAAGAAAGAAGAAAACTTCCTTATACAAATTGCATAAAACAAACTTTGGAAAGTTGGCAAAAAACTCTATTCCAGTTAAAGTAATCAAACTTCTTTCAAAGCTTTCTGAGTCAGTTGGGTACATAGTTTGGAATAATAATGGAAATTGTGGCTCTGCAACCTGCTTTGTGTTTTCAGGATTGTTCATTTTTACTTGTCGGCATGTAATAAATGATGTTGTGGGAAAAGGAGTAGAGCCAAGTAAATGGGCAGACATAATTAGTCAATCTGTAAAGGTGACATTTAGTTATGAAGAATTCCCAGTGAAAGAAGATAATTGCTTTTCCATTGAACCTTGGTTTGAGATATCTGATATAACTCTTGACTATGCTGTCCTGAAACTGAAGGAAAGAGGACAAGAAGTACCTGTGGGACTATATAATGGAATTGCTTCTGCACCATTTAATGGGTTGATATATATTATAGGGCATCCACAAGGAGAAAGAAAGACTACTGATGGGTGTGTTGTGATCCCTCAGAGTGAACGAGAAAAGAAATGTCAGGAATATATGCAGACAGAAGTAGCAGGTTCTGGTTATCCTGCACAGTACATTCATATGTACACTCAAAGAAGTTTCCAGGAAATGCTTCACAACCCTGATTTAGTTACTTATGACACCACTTTTTATTGTGGGGCTTCTGGCTCCCCAATTTTTGATTCACAAGGTTCCCTGGTGGCTATGCATGCTGCTGGCATCACTTGTAAGTACCAAGATGGGGTTTTCAATATCATTGAGTTTGGCTCTGCTATGAGCTCCATCCTCTCTGATATTAAGCAAAAACATGAATCATGGTATAATGAACTATGCATTGTTCAGAAGGATGTAGAAATGTTGAGTCAGGAGAATTGAGAACTAGTGAGGATTCAGTCTATTTACCAGTTTTAAGGGAATTGCCTAATGAAGATGTTATTCCATAAGCAATGATGATGGTTTTCTAACATCCAAAATGGTCAATTTCATGAAAAAATCATTGATATTATAGACCAAGCATTTTTCTAAGCCTATGAAGAAATTAGTTCTAACAACTTTATGAAGTAGACTATGACCCCTACTTTAAAGTCAAACAATGTGAAGGATGATAAGATTAAGTAACAATCAGCCTTATGACAATAATGTCACCTAACCATTGATCTTTTTCATTTTACATTTTTTTCTTCTAAATTCACTTGCTTCAGAGCAGGAGCTAAAAATCATTTATTGAATTATCTCTAGCATTTGATATGTAGAAAGTAAGTGCTTAGAAAAATGTCTGAGTCAACCAGTAATAAAACTTGGGGATGCAGTTAGTGAGATAAATACTTGGTTAGAAATGATAAAACCAAAATCTTTTAGAATTTTCAAAATCTAAGACTCTCAGAATATATGTCATGAAAGTCAGAGGGTAATGTCCATTCTTCCATATTCATAGGTTATTAGGACAAGAGGCATATTCCAAATGTCATATTACTTTATTTAGATTTCTTTTGCTTTTACCTACTGTGTTTTTTTTTTCTGTTTCAAGTTCTCATCCATTATACATGTTACATTTAGCTATCATGTCTCCTTAGCTCCCCTTGGCTTATGACTGTTTCTCAGACTTCTTATTTTTGGTGACCTTGACAGTTAGGAAGAATATTCTCAGGCATTTTATAGAATGTTGAAGTTTTTCTGATGTTTTCCTGATGATTATACCAAGTTGTGAGTTCTGGGGTGGAAGATCACAAAACAAAGTATTATTTTCCCCATGTCCCATCAATGGTTCATACTATCAACATGATATGTCACTATTGGTGTTGACCTTGATTACCTGGTGAAGTGGTATTAGTCAAGTTTCTCCACTGTGAAGTTACTGTTCTCCCTCTGCTTTAAATATGATACTTTTTGGAAGGAAGTCACTATGTGCATCCCATGTTTAAGGAGTGGAAATGTAATGTTTTCATTCCTTACATAAGGACTCATGGAGTATCTACATAATTATTTGGGATCCATTAATTTATGTAATCACTTATGAAGGGTATATTTACACTTTGGGTTATAATCTATTATTACCTTACTTTGTTTTGTGCAAATTGTTCTAGTTTTGGCCACAGGGAGTACTTTCAGTTGGTTCTTGTGCCATTTTGACTAACTCCAAACAATGTGTTTTGCTTGTTTTTTGAGCACTTTCTTTTGTTCTGGTATTATAAGATGTGCTATACTTCTGATTTATACTCTCTGACCAAGTTCCTCCTATTCCAGAACCAGCCATTTCTCCAAGGACCCATGTTTACTCTCTGAGAAACCAATATCTGGACAGTATATGGTTTAGTGCTGTTAGGACGTTGTTTCATTTGAGCTCTCTCAGATGATAGAGTGTCACAATTTCTCAAAATTTTACTTGGCCTTGGCATCTGTTGTGCATATAAGTTCAGCTTTCTCATACCAGGAGCAAATCTTAGGCACCCTTGACAGTTTCTATCTGTGCAACTCTTCCAGTTCCTTATACAACTCATAAAACTATGGGTCTTAGCAAGTTTTCCACCTAGTGACCATCTCCCTTTGGACAGCTATATTCAGCTTACTTAACTGACCTGTCAACACACAAACAAAACACATGGACATGCCACAGTAATACCTCTCAGTCACAGTGCAGTCTTCTAGAACTCCTGCCTCCTTACTTTAAACACACTAATTAAAATTCTCCACAATCAATGTTTGCAATGCACCTTGTACCCCAATAAAGTCATTAACCCAGAGTCTCTCTTTCTTTCCCCCTGAATTCCTGAATTTTATTTGGGTCTGGCCTACAGATATGCCCTGTACCTCCCCACCTCATGGTAGGGATTGAATCTAAGGCCTTGCATGCTAAGCATGCATTCTACCACTGAGTAGCATTCCCAGCCCTCAAGATTTTTAAGTAATAAAATTTCCATTTCCACCTGAGCCTCCTCTACCCATCAGAGGGGTGCTTTCCATCTTAAAGATCCTAAATTAAAATACAATAAAGAAATTTGTCTACATATACTAACTTGAAAATAAGCATATAATATTTGTATACATAGCATCTGTATCTACCATGAGTTAAGGAGTGCTTACTGATGTCTCCAACTCTCATTCACAAGCATATCAATCATTTTAGCTTTGTCCCTTTTCTTATCAACTGTGGGAAACGTGATTCCTACCCTCCATCAGTCATTAACTTAATTGTTTAATCCCAGCACGTCTGTGTGTGATACATATAGCAATAAATCATATACATAATACATAATTATACATTATACATAATTATGAATTATATATAATAACAAATTATATAGTAGCAAAATTATTAAACCATACCTGGATGGAAAACAACTTTTTATCAAGTAGAATACAGGGCTTATGTGAAATTTTTGTAGCTTTTAATCTTACACACGCCATTCCTACCCAAAGTTATTTGGTTCAGAACCTTTTATCCCTCGCCCTCTGGTGAGATTGTTTCATACATTTGTAATACAACTACACACATAATACATTTAAATTCTCTTGTCACAGCCTACATTAATTCTTTCTTTTGATTCTTTCACCTCCTACATGATATTTTAAATTCATATACATTATGATTTACTCTTTGTGCTGTAAAGTTCTGTGGGTTTTAGCTAGTGCATTAATGTCATGTATTCGCCAATGTAGTACCATACAAAGTAGTTTTACCACATTCTTTATGCTTTATTTACTACCCCTTCCTTCTCTCCTGACCACCTGGAAATTAAGATCTTTTTATTGTCTTTATAATTTTATTTTTTCTAGAATTCCATGTAATTGAAGTCATATAGTATTTAGTGTTTTCAGACTCACTAATATTCAGTTAGTTTTTTTTGTGTTCTGTGGCTTGGTAGCTAATTTCAATTTATCACTGAATAATGCTTTGTTTTATGGCTTTACTATAGTTTGTTTATTTAGTCACCTTTTGAATAGCTTGCAGTTGATTGTTTTGGGTAATTATGAATAAAATTTCTATGAACATTTGTGTATTGATTTTTGTATGATTTAAGTTTTCAGTGCAAATGCGTAAATACCAAGGAGTGCAATTGATAGATTCTATGGTAAGATGTTTAGTTCTATAAGAACCTGCCAAACTGTTTTCCAAACCAACTACCAGAAATGAATGGGAGATCCTATTTGCCCATCCCCACCAGGATTTAGTATTGTCAGGTTTTTGTTTTTTGATTTTAGACATTCTAATATTGTTGAGGTACCCAGAATTCTTCAGGGGATTGCAAGATTTATTAATGAAATTGGGGCTGTCTTGAGTAATCTATGGTACATACATAGGTATAGTATTGACTTGAATTCAATCAGAAAATAAAGTTACTATAATTATTACGAGAACTAGGGTATCTATGAGTAGTAGAGGAGCAGGGAAAAAGAGCTGTGAGGATTCAGCTACAGGATGCTAATCTAAAGCCAGGCACCGGTGGCTCATGCCTGTAATCTTAGCTACTCAGGAGGCAAAGATCAGGAGGATCACAGTTCAAAGCCAGCCCAGGCAAATAGTTCACAAGACCCTACATCGAAAAACACTTCACAAAAGGAGAAAAAGAGGGATGATGGAGTGGCTCCAGATGAAGGCCCTAAATTCAAGCCCCAGTACCACAAAAAGAAAAAAAAGAAAAAGCACTGGAAAGAAGAGAAAAGTTGCTGAATGATGTGGCGATGTCTGAGGAGATGCCATGCCTTGTCACCATGACACTACAAAGTAATTTACAGAGAGATTGCAAAATAGTTACATCAGACCCAATTTACAGTTGAGAGCTTGTGGAGATATTGAAAAGTCCTGTCTGATTGCCATGATCTTCCAAGAAATAATGACTACCACTTGATTTCCATCTTTCAAGTTTCTTCCACATTTTTCTCATTGGAAAATACTAACTCAGATCATCAGAGATTCTGGGCAAAATAGTTCTCAGCTTTACAAAGCTGCAATGGTGCTACTTGACAATATGTAACTAGCCTACACACACATACAATATATGCAACACATATGTAACCATAGATTATCATGTTCTGTTTGGTTGTAATGCAGTGGTTTTCCTATCATGCGTCTTACAACTTTACTCATTGTTAATGTCAAAATCACCTGTGAATTCACTATGTCTTGCAAAAAAAAATTATGCTCTAAACAAATTCTACCTCCAGGTATCTTTGTTTAACTGAAACATCCTGCCATGTTTAATACCTTATGCCATCACAGAGAAGCATCAGGTTAAAAAAACCAAGCTAAAATTGGACATAGACATGAAAAAATAGTGTGTTCCTTTTGCCTTTTGATCTCTCATGTAGCTCACTTCTTTTCTATCTTTGTTTTTCACATAAGAATTCCAAGTGAGCTCACAAAGCCTTTAAATATGGCCTTCCTCTAATTTCTCACTTCTACTATCATTTCTTTTCTAAAACATTCTTTTCATTACTTTATCTTTTTACAATTTTTGTCATACTTCCTCGTCATACACTTTAAAGACAGCCAAAAATATTTCTGAATTTCAGATTTTGGAAACACTCTTCCAAATTGATACTCAATGTGCTTTGTACAAATTATTTAAAATTCTTGACTATAATTTAAAAAAAATCGTTTAGCATGTATTTGTAGCCTAAGTACTTTTTCAGGTACTTTACATATGTTAGATCTAAGTTCTGTTATCAGCTTTATGAGGTAGATACTTTTATATCCCCATTTCACTGAAGAGAGGACTGAGGCACAGAACAGTTAAGAAGCTTAGCCATGCTTATAAGGCTATCGAGAACAGGAGTCTGAACTCAGTGATCTGACTTCAGAGCCCATATTCCTAACTCTTCTACACAGCATCTTAAAATGTGAGGTGAAAATAGTAAAATTCTTGGGAAGAATAAATAATGTGCCCTTTTCTTGTTCTTCAAACATTGAACGTGGTGATTTTATGAATTATCTTTGAGTTGGATCGGGAGACTTGTTTTAAAGTCTCACGAACAATAGCTTCAATACTTTTTTAAGAGTTTAGAGTGGATATAAGAGAAAGAATGAAGAAGAAAAATGGGGTGGTAAATCATAAAGATGAGAAAAGGGACAATTGCTTTTTTGAATGTCTGACCCTTTTCTTCCACCACCAGTCACATCCGTTGGTATTTTGTCAAGTTCTACTTTTCATTTCTTAATTTATTTATAGTAAAGTGCATTCTTGGGAGGGGGCATAGAGTCCTATAAGGATTTTTGTTTATTTGCTCTTTTTACTTGAGATTGGACCTCACTTTGTAGCCCAGGCTAGCATCAAACTCACAATTCTCCTGCCTCAGACTTCAGAGTGCTGGGATTATATGAACCACCATACCTGGCCTAGTCCTGTGAATTTTAACGTGTAGATTCTTGTCATCACCACTGATACCAGGATACAGAATAATTCCAAAATCCCACAAAGTCTTCCTCTACCTCTTTGTAGTCTGACCCTTCTCCCTCATCCCTAACTGACAGCCCCTACTCTCTGTCCTATAGGCTAATTTTGTTCTTACTGTTTTATGGCATCTTGCTTTTCCTTTCACCTCTCAACCACTTATCATCCTCATACTGGCCAAATGTTATGATTTCATTTTCAGTTCTCTTTTCCTTATTCTCCACTTGGCAAGTGTAGTTGTTCTTCCAGTGTTCTTCTTACTTCTATCTGGGTCATTCCAGGATTATTACTTCTAGCCATGATAGCTCTCATGAGAGCAAATCTGTAAGTGTCAGTTCCTTATAAACCAGTTTGCTAAAAAAACAAGTTATGCTGACTAACCCCAACCCCAACCAGTTCTGTTCCTTTCCTGTTCATGGCCCCATCACGCAGACTAAAATTTCTTTCAGACTAGAATCCCTGGAAACATTTTTATCACTATCATAATGTTCCACATACACATGATCCAACAAGTCTTGTGCAAACTCTGGTTTTCCTTCAGTGAGATCCATCTTTCCATTTCTTCATTTTTTTCCCATTCTTTTTCATCTCTTTCATCAATAACATTATCATGACAGCTAACATTTATGTCGTTAAAAATGTAAATAAAGTATCATGTTGGTCTCCACCTTAATCATAGGAGGTAGATATTGTAGTCAGTGTTACAGATGACAAAATAAGTTATTCTCAGTGTAAGGTCATCCCAAGACAGGGAGCAGGGTTTTAGACCACAAGCATCTGGTTTCAAAGCCTAGGACGCAGCTCACTCAAGTGCCTTGTAGGACCTAGAAAGCTATCTTAGTTTGCCAGGGGCCCTAAGCCCAATTCTGTTCTCTGGCTTCCCTAGGACAAAGTATCATAAGATCCAAAGATCTATAAAAACTTAAATGAAGATGCTGAAGTAGCAGGCCAGAGTGAGGACAAAGGAGCCCATCCATTTACCTGGGAGCTGGAACCCATTTCAAAGATAGTACCTCATTTGGGTCTACCTGTCACTCCTTTCTTTGATGAAACCAGCAACACAGACAGGCTATTTGAAGGCCCCTTCTTTTCCTCCATAAACTTATGGCCTCCTGGCTGAGGACTTGAATCTGGAGTGCCTCACTACAAGAAAAGATGCAGAAATCAATGAACAGGGAAGGGGAACAGGTCTCTGCCACATAATATGGGCATCTGGGAGCCCCTGGTCTTGAAGTGTCACAAAGACCAATGGGGCACTGTTTCTACTTAAGGGAATACAGTGTGGAGTAACTGGGGAGGAAGTTAGACAAAGTAATCACACAGTCATGATGGATCAAGGAAAATGTTTGCACTGAATTGTCAGCAGAGGTCCTAATTTAAATAAGCAGAGAAACCAAGGTAAGAATGAAGGAGTGCATAAGATGGTGTGGGACGGTAGATACAAGGAGATAGGACTTATGAGAAATTGCACCAATGCCTTCACACCACCAAAACTGATTTATGTGTTGGACATTTTGTTATTGTTGTAGTGGAAAATATCCCAACATATCTCTTCCACAATTCCTTTATTCTCTAGATATCTACCAATGTTACCAGAAGATTAAATTTTTCCCTTTACTCCATGCATTATTCCCTGAGGATATATTTCAGGACCAAAATTCAAATACAGTGTGATTTACTGAAGTTAGGAAATCTAAAACCGAACCAAATGAATACCATTTCTCAGCCTGAAAATCATTTTCAGACTCTATGTTTACAAATTTGCCCTCTCCCTGAAATTAATTTGAAGCCTCCCAAATCAAGCATTCATGGTTCTTTCCCTCATTTGAAATTATGGATATAGTAAGGAAAAATTTGAGTTGCCTGCTGTACACATTTTCAAGACAGCATGGAATAAGCCCATGTTCTTTTAGCTCTTGTAACATAAGCAACTGTATATTTAGTACTACACTGTATGTTTGGTACTGCATTCTTTGCATTTTTGTAATGTTCTTGCTGGTGATTCTTCTGTTTTAAATGGTCCCCTTGCATAGTGCTGAACTTCTATCTAGTGTTGCTAAGCAAACAAAGGCTGTGATATGCCTTAAAGAGAAAGTGTATGTATAAGATTTGTATGATTTTTTTATATGTAAAGTATATGAACACGATTTGTTCAGACATGAGTTTTTCCACTGTTGGCTGTGA